GTAAGAACGACTATGATTTCTTTGGCTATATCTGTGATCTTTTGTCTCACTTCCCTCTATTGACGTACCAAGACTGATCCTTGTTTATGTACCATCAATATAAAAATGGATATTTGCATTGTATATTGTTTAATTTGTTGAGTAATGGTGAGTTGACTATTTATGCACTTGAAGTTGCTATTTGTTCATAAAACTGCTGGATTTTAAAGTTCCATTCAAGAATTTTCACCTCATATATTATAAATAATGATTCCCTTTTTATTCCCATTTTTTAATCTGAACTTAGAGAATGTAAATACTCCGATCTTTCGACTTAGCTTACTTATAGATAGAGAATGTTGTTATTTATATACTTTAAAGATGTGTCTGCTGAATTACTTAAGCTGACTATCATGTGGATAATTGTAGGCTGTAGTCTTTTGTTGTGTTTTCTGTTAGCGCTAAGGTATACTAGCAATCACTAATTCTATCACAGAAGCAAGCGGTCCAGAATCAAGAATGCTAGGTATGCAAGTGTATGACTATATAATATTTTTGTTAAGTACCCGAATTATTTTACATTTACACTAACCTATTTTAAGTTGACTGAAAACAGGAGAAAAAATGGATGAATTTCTCAAAAAGATGGGTGAATATTTTGTAGTGTTGAAGAGATTATCGAGTACAAATTAACTTGTTGATTGTGGACTAGTGTTGAAGTTTGGGAATTTTTTACTGTGGAAGTTCAATTTTGGATGTGAATGTATGCCTGTGACCTTTCACATGTATTGGTGATTTATACCCTACCCGTGACCTGATTTCTTCACATGGTGTTTAGTTCATTTGTGACCTTTATTTGATTGTGAAGTAGCATTGAAGGTTTCCATCGTGGAAGTGCATTTTGGAAGTGTTCTGTGACCTCTGTGTGTGCTTATTCCCATATGTCATCTGTGGCCTATGTTAATTTACATATGTGACTTGACATAACATACTTTGATGCAGATTTGGAAATACATGCTTCCCCAAGAAAAATGGTTTCCTGGCATGATTACAACGTCCATGCCAAAGGGTGTTCTCACCAACCTAAAGATACATCTGAATGAAGCCCAGCAAATAATACTCAGGGGTACACTACTTTCTGCTCAGTCATACGATTTACTACA